AACCGTTTCAGAAACTGTGAAATATACTCAAGATAAAAACACGTCTGATGAGGATCTGCCTGAGAAGCCCACTGAAGTCAGTGGGAGGTTGCACTGCCTTCCCAAGCAACTCTGTCAGAGCTAAAACAGTACAGAAATAACCTTTAAAGCACTACTACTAGTACTGCTACTACTAAAACTATGTATATTATGCAAAATATCTGGGTCATAGAAGAAGTGTTGGCAGTTTTTTTACAAATCCGGTGTGGGACTTGCTTAGTAGTTCAATGCTAATATGTGCTTGTAGTTTTACCAAGCTCTGTTTATGTCACAAGTTGCTGGGCTGTGGGGGGCTATGACGTACATCTCAAATGGTACAGTATCAGGGCATTCCCACTTCAGAGCTGGCTGTTCTGTGCGGCTGCCTTTGCGCTCTACTTTTTCCCCAATATATGCGAAAGTACCAAATTGAGAGAGGGGTCTATTTGCTTTTACGTGCTGTCGCATCGGTGTAGTGGGTACAGTTCCTACAGAACTAGAGTACAAGACCAGTTTGGTTTGTTCAGCAGTAGTTTACTAAAGAATATTTTTCTTTAACCAATCCTTCACTGTTATGTGGCCAAGATGTTAATTAGCTCATTGTTTCTGCTTAATTTTGTGACAGCGCTATAATTATATCCGTCAATTGTGCCATGAAGTAATTGCTGTATCTTTTCCAAATTTTATGTTGAGATATGTTATTGGTAACTTTGAATTTGGCAGAGGTGTTTTGAAAATACTGTAAGGCGGTCAGTAATTTTTGTATTTCTTTATTTAAAAGACAGCCATTTGGCAATTTCAAGCTTTGAGACTGTACTGTCAATGTAAATAGAATATTGATTTTATTCCATTTCCTATCTCATTAGAGTCATTGTCATGAGGATGAATTCACATTGTGTAATTATCTGTTCTTGCTGACAGTTCTCATGTCATTGAGACTGGCGTTTTCAGCTTCCACTTTCTCTGAGCATAAAAATAGCATTCTTCACTGCCGTGTTCTTCTTTAGTGTTGTGCTTTTTGCCTGTCCAGCTTTATACATCTTTCTTTCCAAGAGATGTGTGTGAATTGAGATAGAGAAAAAAGGAACGTCCAGCAAACCTAGTTACAGGAAGAGTGAAAACAATGGCTCCTCGGGAACAGTTCCCAGTGCAGTGAGACACTCCTGTTCAGATACCTTATTTTTGTGTCAAAGACTGTAACGAGAAGAGGAGGAAAAACGTGTCATTAACCTGGCTGTACAACATTTCTTTATAGCAATAATGGGAAGTAATAAAAATGGAACATATTTAACCAGAACTTAGAAACTGTAATCACATGGTCCTTTGTGTGTTAGTTTCACTTTCTTGGGCATTTTCAGATAACCTTTCCATTGATTTGTGAAGTTGTTTCTTAATCGTTTTAATTGACCCAGCTCAGCAGACAACTAAGTCATCTCTCTTACCTTCCTAAGGAATGACTTCTCAGTGTTGTTTCTCTCTTTTATCTTTTCTGAGAATAACTTTTTAATTTGCTTTCAATATTTTTAGCTGCATTTTCCTTGTATTCCAAATAATCAGTGAAGGCAAAGTTTTATGCTTTGTCCAACCAATGTTGCAACAGTCCCAAGACAAGTAGCAAATACTTTAAAATTTCAAAAGGTGAACTTCGAAAACTGCCTGTGGATTAAGAACAGCCTTTAGTACTGACTGGCCTACTAGGTGGAGTCTGGAAACTGTCAGCCCCCAAATAAATTTTAATTAAATAAAAAAAAATATTAAAAATCAACTCAACCCCTTTCCTGTCCTCTCACTATGGTTCCTCCCTCTGGATTTGTTGTGGTCTTTCCTAGCTTATCAGAGACAGCCCAAAGAGACACATCACATATATCTGCTGGGGTTTTTTGCAGACAGTGGTGTCCTTTAGTATTTGAGGCTTATTGGGGACTCCTTATTGATGTGGAATATCACAAGCGAATTTCAAAGTGAGGGGAAAATAGTTTATGCAGATAAAAAAAAAAAAGATTCTGTGCTAACATCTTCCTTTATTTAGTGAAGATATTGAGGACATACCTCTGGTCTGAAGTCAGTCTTTATTTTTGCTAGAAGGCTATTTTTAAAGCTGATATTTCTGGCTATGTTTTCAGGTAGGTAACAAATTCTGACAAAACAATTTTTCTTCAAGTAACTGTGCAGACAAAATATACATCTAGCATTTCTTCACATTCAGAAGATTTACCTCTGAGGCATCACAGCTCCTCAGAGTAATACTTTTCTTTTTGTAGTTGGCAGCCTGAAGAACGAAGGGTGAAATTCAGCCTTGTTTAATGCAGTTACAGATATATCACTGACCTCAACAGGAGCAGGATTTCACTGCAAGTGACTAGTCTGACTCCAAATAGAAAACTTATTACAAAGCTAGGAATAAAACATAGTTTCTTGAGTTTTACTGGGAAGATTACTCCTTTCACTACACGTGAGCACAAAAGATAGTTTTCATTTGTTTTCTTTTTGTATGTTGCCTTTATGCTATCTTTCCTCCTAAGGGGTGACTGCTCTTGCAATGAGACTGAAATTAAGTATCTTGTTTTGAAAATGTGACCTTTAACTTGCTTTGGTTTAGCATGTAAAATATATCAATTGCTGCTCTAACTCTTCTTGTTGTTTGGAAAAATCGATGCTTGGTATGGATTGTATACCAAACTGATGAACAGGAGAAAATCCACACGTAGAGCTGTTTCACAACTTTGTTGTAGAGAGCTCTTACTGCCTGCATCGGCACCACCCTCTCCTGAGGGTCTCGCAGGGAATAAACGTTCATAACAAAATAACACTCAGAAGTCAGCATTTTGTGCTGTGCAAGAGCGATGGTGGGAGAAAGTGGATACATCTATTATCTTTATCTGCGGAGGACAGGGTGAGTTGCAGTACACTTTGGCTGGAGGCCGGGTGATGTGTTTTAGGATTCCAAAAGCTCTCTGTTGTGAAGGGCAGTCCCGCACGAGGTGGCTGGGGATGCCTGGAGCCCATCCCACCAGGGCACCCAGGTGGGCTTGCTGGCGTGCGGCTGTGGCCAGGCGGCATCGTGAGGTCCCAGCATATTGTTCGGTTCTTTCAAATCTCTTGGCGCTAACCCATCGTGGCTGAGTAGTGTGGCACAGGTGGGAGAACCAAACTTGTTTGCCTGAGCACTTGTTATGGAATGAGTTTTCAAGACCCAAGTCTCTGCTGTATCCCCAAGGGCTGAGCAGTAGTGACTGCTGGCACGGGATGACCGACTTCTGAATTTTAGGCAGCTGAAGCAAATGAATATCTGTGTTTACCAAGACGACACCTAGCTGTTAACTTGTGCTTGCAAGTAGTTATGCATGGTTGTTTGTCTCCTGCTAGCAGGGATTAAAAATGTGTGCGTGATTAGAAGTGTCCTGGCAAGGAAACCATGGTGCCTGTTACAATCTTATTAGCTGTATTAGGTGTGCTTTACTTCTCCTGTAGTTTGTTATTCTAATCACTTAGTCCCTGGGAAAAGACGCCTCGTAGATTTTCCTCATCTATTGGTTTGCATCCACGCTGACCAGCGTCACTTCCCAAGATGTGTTTTTGATGACAGTGTCAGTGATGCTGCTTTGGGGGGGTGGTGGTGGTGGGAAATACGAAGATTATGGAGCAGTGTCTTTAGAAAGACAGGGATGTGAACAACCTTCCCCCTAAACGCAGGCGGGCGGGATGCTGCTGGGGGTTGCAGTCCTGTTGTTGGCGTTGCCCGTGGGCTCCGGTGTGCCGCAGCGTGCTGTGGGCACTGCCGTGAGGGCCCCTCTGCTCTGTAGTCCAGGCTGCTCTTTTGAGATCTCCAGGCTGGGACAAGAGTTACAATTTATTACGGAGTTACATTTACACGTGGCACCAGACTTCTGTGGCAAAGCTGGGCATCTGAAACTTGTCTCAAAGAAACACCTGTTCCACCTTGGCATCTGAGGGGAAGGGTTTACCCTCTCATTTCTAGATGTTAAATGCCTGGGTGTTTTTTTTTAAGTGAATGATGTTTGTCACTAAGCTTGTAGTTCACCTGCAATACGTTAATGGGAGGGAAAAGAGTGCTGAGTAATCATTCTCTTCTGGAAGGGGCAGTCACACACGTGCAGGCACATTATTTCCTGAGGTCTTAGATGAATACAGATCCAGGCTAGTTTGTGGTGACCCCAAAATGACTATATATTAGCGACTAGAGTTATATAAGAGTGCACGGTTGTTGTCTCAGGCAATCAGCTGTTGCACCAGAGCCGAGCCGGTCCTGTGAATGAGC